TTTGCTAACCTAAGATGATTAAGATTACTATAGACCCATGAGTTTATTCTATGTTATTGGGAGGTTGATTATAACTATTTCAGAAAATCTGTACTATGTTGGTATTTATGTTAGAAAGCATCAAATTTAAGCCCTTAGAAAATTTCTTTTTTTAAAAAAGTGGTAGTATAAATAACCTAAATTCATGTTGACTGTACTTTGGTTTTACTAGGTTTAATTGGGAGAATTATCCAAAAATAATTAAGAATTTAATAGTAGGATATATAGGACATTAGTGATGTGAAAATAAGAAGAAAAATTCTATTAGTAGAAGTGAGTAGAAGCTCAAAAAGCTGACAGAAGTGAGGCTGAAACAATTTTCTGCTATGGTTTTGAAATAGAGATCATTTTGTAATGATTATGTTTCTGTCTAACACTGGAAACCACCTAGACATTAAGATTTATGAAACCACAGAATCTTGGGTGTGTTAAAGCATAGTCCAATTTTAGGGGAAATATATCTAAATCACTGATGTATTACTTTGTTTTAAAGGAGAAAGATGTTTTGAAGTTTAAAAGGAAATCTTTCAAAATATTTTCCTACATGAAAACAAGCAATATAAAAAGAGAACTGTACTTAAAAAGAGAACAATTCTATGAATAACTTTGAGAATTATTAATCTCTCATTTTACTATTTAGGATGAGTGACAGTACTGGAGTAGAGCATGGTTGGTAAAGATATTATCAACTCTAGTTGTAAAAAATTAGCCTTTGTACTGAATGCACATTAACGCATAGTAAGCTGGGGTAAGGGAAGAAGCTGGACAGAAAGTTCAATTATAATAATATGTCAAAATTGTGACAGGAGTGCTAGAGAGATGACTCAGTGATTAAGAGCACTGACTCCTCTTGCAGAGGACCTGGGTTCAGTTCCCAGCACACATGTGGTGGATACCACAATTTCCAAGGCCAGTTCCAAGGTATCTGACACCCTCTTTTGGCCTCCATGGACATTACATGCATGGGTGCAGTTACACACATGAAACAAAACACTCATACATATAAAAGAAGAATGAAAAAGAAAATTTTAAAAACTTGTGACAAGAATATCTATCCATATATTATTAATATTGAAGGAGTTTTACTATAAAATACACCTATGCTTAAAATTTAAGCATAAAATGATGAGAATAATTAGCTATAATCCAAAGTAATTATCAAAACAATGTAAATAGTACATTGAAACATTAATGTGTGTGCATTTTCATTTCAAAATGATATGACAAATGAATTAAGATAATGAAGGGGAAAAGAGTATTGTGCTTCATGTTGAACAAATTTTCTGTCTCAATCAGATAAACATTTTTTAAAGTAATACAGAGAATGATTCTCTTATTATCACTGTAAGTGGCAACATGGCATTAAACAAATGACTCAAATATTACCCAAAGAATATATTTTTGTATAGAGAAAGTAAAAAGGAACAGTAAGTAGAATTTCTTCTGTGACAGCTATGAAAATTAACATTAAATAGAATAGCTGTTCTATTATTATAACTTCTACTATCTAGGAATAGATATGTATCTGTTTATGCAACACAAGGTAGCTTTCATTTACTGTTTAACAGAAAATAATGTAAAATTGTACTTTTAACTTCTAAAATAACGTTTTAGTGATTTTAGTGAAAATGTTGCAATAGTACATTAAATTACCATTTTCAAAAGAACACAATTAAGCACTGGAAATGATATTGATAATATAGCCATTCTCTGTTTTTGAGTAAAATGACAGGTGTAACAAAAATGAAAACATTTTCTATTATAGTCACTGAACTATTCAACAAAATAAAAATCACACTTCTAGGAGATTGCCGGATGGGCACAACTACTTAGTAGAGAAACAGTTCTAAGAAAATCCTTTTACATAATTTACAGATGAGATTTGATTGAAAAGAATGTTTTAGTTACTCTTTCTGGAAATTGTCTACATTCCTAGGAAGTTAATATAAAAACACCACCAACCCTTTTCATGTGTGTACAATCCCTTCACTATGAAATCAATAAGGTATCCATACTTTTTAATCTTTTCCACTCCTGTGTATCAACTTTGTAAAACAACCGTGAAAGTAGGAGCCTGGAATTTTTGCTTGATACCTATAGTCAAAAGACATCTAGCAGCGATGTTTTCAGGTGTTGTTCAATATTGAAGGCTGTACTGGTGGACTGTTTGAAAGAGAATGTTATATTATAGGAAAGACATATACCAAAGGTATGTAAGCCAATATCACCATTATCTAAAATTTTTAATAAGTCAAATTGACAGGAATATTCCACTTTTGGAATTGTTTAAGTGTGGTCCAACTTTCTCTTGGATACATTTGAAATTAATACTGGCTAATGACAATTTTATTTTATTAAAATGGTTGAGAGTAGTATTTGAGAGCATTTAAATGCATTATGGAAAATGAGTAACAGTTTTTAATGTTGTATCACCAGGCAAATTACAGACAATATTATATTTGGAAACAAACCAAGGTAAAGAAAAACACAGGCAATAATGATACTGACAGAAAGGGTAGACAAGGTAGAATTAGTAATGAAGCTAACGTTTACAAATAACAAATTGGATAAATAAGAATGCAAAAGGAGTATGTATCAATGGAAATGTATGATTATTAGAAGCTTTGTATGACTACTACTGTCTCCTCACATTTAGAATCTTGGTGAAAAATAATTTTAAGGAAATATATGTGTATGATTTGTATATAAAAAATTTACAGTCATTTCATTCTGCTGCTCAGTAAAATACTCTTCTCATGTTTAATGAGAGTTCTGGCAGATAAATAATTGAAAACTTGTCTACTGAGATAAAGATATTTTTATGTTAAAATACAATTGCTTATCAACAAATATTGATGCAAATCTTAGGCAGTATATGAAACTTAGCAACCTATATTAGTCACTTTTTTGCTGCTGTGATAGAAACACCAACCAAAGCAATTTATAGAAGGAAGGGTTTATTTGAGCTTATAGTTCCAGAGGAATTACAGTCCGTCATGGCAGGGAGGCATGGTGGCTGGAGGTGGCTGGAGCAGGAGCAGCAGAAGTGAAGCTCTCACATCATCACCAGGCACAGGAAGCAAGTGAGTAACTAGAGATCCAGCAAGGCTTAGAACACTCTAAGCCTGCCCCCAGTGACATGCTTCCTCCAGGAGAGCCACACCTTCTAAAACCTCCCCAAACAGAGCTACCATCTGGGGACAAAATGTCCAAATACCTGAAGCCTATGGGGGACGTTTTCATTCAAACAACCACAGAGGGAAAGACAGACTTACTTGTCATCCCTTTCCTGAGTGCAGCTAGCACGACATGAGGGGAGATACTAGAGTGGAGGGTGGAAATGCAGTGATCAGAACCTTGCCTCAAACCTTAACACTATGCCTGTACCAGAAAGCTCAGGACTTAGTAGATTCCCACTGTACCATAGTTCCCGCCAGTGTACATGACCAGAGTCTCTGATCCAAATTCTCTGACAGGCTAGATATCAAAGTCCCTGGCCAGCAAAGTGCCTGCAGGCTTCAAGTCTGCCACATCACTAGGTAAAGTCCAGAGATAATGAAATACAGAGAATGGAACTTTGATGGCGTCACAAGATATTTGGAGATCAATTTGACAATAGCCAACCTACATAAATACAGGGTGTCAAATTTAACTATATTGGCAATTGTGAAAATTTAAAAACACAGATGTTCTTAGATGGACTTATTTAACAAACTTTATTAGTAAACAATTATTTCCACTATTTATTTGAGAGACCTTTATTTATAATAACAACGTACCATAATAGAAATTGTATATTCACACACACATAATTTAGAAATAAAATTAGATTATCAAAGGTTAATAAGAGTAATTAAAATGAACAAAGCAATACATATAATACTAATGAGTATACATAACAAATGTATATAGCTTATGTCCTGGTATATAACCAAATCAAAGAAAATAAAAATCTCAAAATTTATTAAGCAAATATGGCAATCCAAGGAAACAGAAAACAACAGCACAGAAGTGCAAAGGGAACTGGAAGTTCAAAGTCACTGTGTTGAGTTAGACTTTGCCACATTTGAGTCATAGATTAAAGGTCTATTATGCTAATGTGTAGTGAAAAAATTATAGAGTAAACAAGAATAATATCCACATAATCCTTTTAGGTGAAGCTTCACATTAATTCAGTAAGTTTTTACATTTTACACAGATTTTTCAGGAAGTCTTAGCAAAGGGACTTTGCAGAGGAAAGAGATGCTGGCCGACCACACTGAAAGCTTTTGAATTTGTCTGTTTGCAGTTCTACTAACTTTGCTTAGAACCATCATTTACACATGGTGAAGGGGCTGAATGTTGCCATCTGCTACCACAGAGATACTAGGCAATGAGCATAATTTTGCTTGTTACACAAAGGTGGAATACTGAAGTTATTATTGGTTTCTGCTGGGTAAAAGACCAACACTGAATATTAACCCCAAGCAGAACCCTGGCACTCACAAAGAATTATCTGACCTAAAATATCAATATTATTGAGTTTGGGAATTTATGATTAACAGGTGATAGGAAGAGGCGGTACGCAGTAAGCATCAAATATTTAGTAGTCTTTTGAAGGCTACTTGAAATACCAAAAAGTATACACATATTCTTATGACTCACACTTACTATTTCTTGGATTATAAATTATTATCAAGAAATTTCAGGGTTTGTTTTGTACAGTGAGCACACAAGTCTTTCTTTGATTATTATTCATAAATATTTTCAACTCAATTACTTTTTCTTCGGTTATTTTTTTGAGACAGTGTCTTCAGGTAGCCCCAGCTGTTCTGGAACTCACTATGTAGTTCAGGCTGGACTGGAAATCACAGGGATTTGCCTGTGTGTACCTCTCAAGTCTGGAATTAAAGGTGTGCACCACCATGCTTGATCTTAATTACTTTTTTAACCTTTAAAATATTTAGTAAAAATCTACTCACTTGCCATTCAGTGCCGCTACTCCAACAGTGCTCCTAGCAATGGACATGCTGGCTACGTATGTCCACTGCTGACTCTGTGGGTCCCACCTCTCCACTGTGTTCAGATAGCTCCAGCCATCATGGCCTCCCACTGCATAGATAGGCCCTTCAAGCACAGTGACTCCTAAAACAAAGAGGAATCAAGTGAACAAACATTGTGGCTATAGTGAACAATATGATTTTTTTTTGTCTTTTTGAGACAGGGTTTCCCTGTAGTCCAGCCCCAGCTGTCCTGGAACTCGCTGTATAGACCAGGCTGGCCTCGAGCTCAAAGAGATCCGCCTGCCTCTGCTTCCCAAGTGTTGGATTAAAGGCATGTGCCACCAATATGATATTGTATACAGTAAATAGTGATATGAAGGTAAATCTCATGTTGTTTGTTTTTATTATTCTAAAATATCTACTAAAACTAAGATGTAAATAAATTTCATATTTGTTATTTGAAGAACCAAATAACAGTATGAAATAATGGGTGCATTCAGCATAGACACTATTTTTTAAAGCGTTATATCTGGGTTGGGTGGTACACATATGTTATTTGAGCAATAGGAAATCAATAGCCTAGGAAGAAAGATTGGCATTGGGTCTAGGCCAGCTTGGGCTATATAATGATAACCTGTTTGAGAAAGACAGGGGAAGTGGAGAGAGCAAGAGAGAGGGAGAAGGAGAGGAAGAATATTGCAATAAGAATAAGTAGAAATTATGTATTAACTGAATGGTTCTATTAAACTACAAACAACAGGTAAAGAACCCTGTTGACTTTTTCCATGTGGCTTTGTAGAGTGGTTTGGGAGCAGGTCTTGAGACTTCTTTTCTTATTCTATTTCCTTGATTTCGCTATTTGAACTTTTGTGTTTTCCTATATGAACTTTGTGATTTATTTTTCCCCTGCTGTGAAGAATGGCATTCCAGTTAATCAGGACTACACTGAAATTATAATTTGCTTTAGGTAATATAGCCATTTTCACAATATCATGCCAACCGATGACCATGGTATATTTTTAAAATTCTACTGTCTTCTTCAATAACTTTCTTCAGTGTCTTAAGATGTTTTCTGTAGAGAATTTTCAGTGCCTTGGTTAGGTTTATTGCCAGGCAATTTTTCTTGAAATAGGGATTCCCCGTAGCTGTGCTGGTACATCAGACAGCCTTGATCTTTTAAAGATCCACCTTCCTCTGCCTCCCAGGTGCTGGGATTAAAGTCTTATGCCAACATGCTGAGCATAATTTTAAAATCTTTATTGATTCTTTGAGAATTTCCTACAATGCATTTTTATCACATTCAAACTCACTTCCTAATCTCCACCCTTACCACATTACTAAAGACTTCAAGTCTATATTTTTAATTAAAAGTCAAGAGAGGTCAGGAATGCAATGACATGAAGGGGGAAAGAATAATATAGTACAAAGGATTATTTGATATGGGTAATAGAAGGGCAGGGCAGTGGAGGGAATATGTGAACTAAAGGTCTTTAGAAAAAGCCATTTGGAAACCTACTACTATAGAAACTCCTTAAAGCATGTGTGTGTGTGTGTGTGTGTGTGTGTGTGTGTGTGTTTGTGTGTGTTAAAGGAGATTAAAAGCAATTATCTTTGTAACAGGAGGGACATTGCCCCTACATGACATCATAGGCTAGCAAAGCAAAAGCCCACTGCAAAGGATGGACTCCCTATTTTGAAGCTGCTGACTAGGGGTTCCATAGACCCTCAAACCATACTGGCCTTGTCCCTGCTCTTGTTTACCCCCAGAAATTGATGTAAGACCCTATTGCTGAAGACAGTACAAAAATGAGTCATAGAAAAAAAATACAAGGAGAAATCAAACTGGTACTGACTTCAAAGCTTCAACTCTACTGACTTTCATAGTGTTGGATGGTGCTATGCATGTACTGGAAGAAGAAAAAGTCATTAACCTTACCCCGCTGTGAATTTTGCTTGAACCAACGACAGGTAGACTGGCAAGATAGACCTCTGGTGTGGTAACGGCATGTATGTCAGAGTAATCATCCACTTTTGAATTGCATTTAAGGTCCACTTCATAGGATGGAGCCTATACCTGATACTGATTTCAGGCCTAGGTACCTGTGTTAGACAAGCTGCAGACCATAGGGGATAACTTAATGTGATTACTCTGATAAATAGATACAGTAATATTAAAAGTGACTCATAATGACTTATTGCTGTACCCATATATTAATGCATCGCTCAACTCTCCACAGAGAAAGTTCCTTATGTAGTGGATGGTGATTAACACAGAAAGTCGTAACTAGGCAAAGTTCAGAGAATATGAGTCAGCAGAGCAATTATCCCTCAATTGGAGACCTATATCAAATTTCCAGCTCCAAAGGCTAAGGAATCATTGTGGAAGAGGTAGTGGAGTGATTGTACGGGCCAGAGGTGGTAGATGATCAGAAGGAGAGAAAATTTTCCAGACAGCTAGGAAATTACTCATATGAGCTCACAGTTATGATGACAGCATAAAAAAAGTGCCCCAAATCTCAACCCAGACAAAATCCCTGTATAGACATGGGAAAATGGATTAAAAGAACCAACCCATACCTGACACTGAGGAACTATTGGAGACCAGTGGCTGATAGGAAGGGGAGAGTTAGTATTTTTTAAGGATGTGGATCTTGGTAGGTTAAACAAATGTCTTTGGATGATAGGGGAGGAGATCCAAATATTATCAACATATATCATATGAAAGTCACAAAATTAAATAAAAGTGAAATTATAAGAGAATATTAAAGATGTAAACATCTTTCTTTTGGAGACAATGTCTTACATTGTAACCTGGCTGGCCTGGAACAGTGCTGGTCAGGCTGGCCATGAACTTATATATATCTACCTGCCTCTGTCTCTAGAATGCTGTGATTAAAGGAAAGCAAGGTCATATCCAACTTAAAAATATAGGATTAAAAAGAGCAAAAGAGGACAGAAAGTTGAATTGGTAGAGAAAGGAATGTGGGCCTGAAAGAAGCTGGGGAAGAGGGGGTGAATATAATCAAAATACATTATAAGAGATTTTCAAAAAAATATTCAAATATGAGAAAGAAAAATTTGAAAGATTTTCTAATTAAAATAATTATAAACAAAATATGTTGTTTGAAACGTATTTTGGAAGAATCAGTCGATATTTAATGCAAATAATAAAATTTGATAAGCCATTAAATCTTTCAACACAGTTATGTATTCATTTTCTTTTAAACATATTAGTAATTTATCATATGTCTACAGGAAATATTATGGACTCTATATTAGAATGAAGAATATGAACAAAATGTATGACATGTTGAAAAATTATATGCATTGCTTTTATAACTAGCTTAGGCACAGTTAGTGATACTACTAGGGCTACAACAAGGGCAAAATGCAGAAGAGTGTTGTAATTAAGAACGCTACTCAGTAGGATGATTGTCTGGGTTTCTAGCTCAATCCATTATTACCACCTGAATGACATTGGGAGAATGTGTGAATTCATTGTATACTAGTACCATCATGCTTTAAAAGTATGTAACATTTGGGAAAAGGTCACATAAAACATGCAAGTTTTTATGTCAAATAATAAGCTGTAAATCAATTTGTAACATAAATAAAATAGTCCATGTCCTGTGTTTTAGGAATGTGTTAAGGACTGCAATCAAAATGACTGTCAGATACATCTTCACCCTGAAATCTTAAATTCCCATGACAAATAGCTCTAGTTATAGTTAAATAATTGAATAAGAAATGCATCCCCAAGACTGATGTTTTATTACCTATGATTATGAAATTCACATTTTCTAGAAAATAACTCATACTTTATGCTTCCTCATTATAAAACATGATATCCTTGCAACTGCCCCAGGATTTTGAACTCTACCTTCCTTATAATGTTGTTTGCTCATTTATTGCAGCTACTCTGACTCCTGTGCAAAGGATCTCATAAAGCTGAGTGAATAACTGGACTAGAATAATTTCAAAAGTAGGATGATATATTCAAGTTCTTTCTTGTGTTTACCAAAAATATATTTGTTAGAGGAGTAAACACACATTGGACAAAAGGCAGAATTTTTTTAACAAAAGCTGCTGGTTACATGTAGAAGAATGAAACTAGATTCCCTCTCTCTCTGTCACCTTGAACAAACCTTAGATACAAATGGATCAAGGACCTCAACATAAGATCCAATACCTTGAATCTTATAGATGTGAAAGTGGGAAATACATTGGAACTTTTATACACTGAAAAGACTTTTCAAACAGGACCCTGAGAGCACAAGCATTAAGACTAATAATTGACAAATGGGAACCTAGGAAACTAAAACACTTCTACCTTCCTAAGAACACCATCAGTTGAGTGAAAAGACAACCTACAGAAAGGGAAAAGTACTTTACTAGCTATACATCTGACAGAAGGTTAGTATCTGCACTATTTAAAGAACTAAAAAATGAACGTCAAAAAGTGAACAACCCAGTTAAAAATTAGGACAAGGACATAAACAGTGAGATCTCAAATAATGAAGCACAAATGACTGAGAAATACTTTTAAAATGTTAAAAATTTTAGCCATCAGGAAAATGTAAATTGAAACTACTGTGAGATTTTATCTTGGATCTAAAAAGAAAAAAAATAACTGATGGCAAATGCCAGTAAGGATGTGGGGAAAGGAGAACACTTGTTCACTTCTGGTGGGAGTACAAACTAATGCAGCCTCTATGGATATCAACGTGGGGGTTGCTCTAAAAGCTAAAAATAGATCTCCCATATGATTCAGCCATACCACTCATGGCATTTACCCAAAGGACTCTGTGTCCTAATACAGAGATATTTCTTCCCATGTTCATTGCTGTCCTTTTCACAATAGCCAGGAAATGGAAACAACATAGATGTTCATCAACTTATGAATGGATAATGAATGCATGGTATAGTTACACAACCAAGAATTATTCAGCTGTTAAAAAAATTAAATTGTGACATTTGAAGGTAAATGATGGAACTAGAAATAGTCATATTCACTGAGGTAACCCAGTACCAGAAAGATAAACTTTGCATATTCCCTCTCATAAATGGATACTAGCTTTCAATCTTTAGATTGGTATTTATCACCTAGAAAATCCATAGAGTCAGGAAATTAATAAGGCTTCA